CCGTAAAACATATTTATGAAACAGGCTTAAGAGGCCACAGATCACTAATTTGCACCGAGGCAATGAGAGGTATTTTACTGGTTTTTAGCAGCAGAATGTTGTCCTTGAATTACCATAATCCTTATGATTCTGGGCTAAAGCTGCCTGTCCATCACTATGCAAAGAAAAAAAAAACATTAAAAAAGATCACTCATCATGGAAGTGTAAGCTTGAAAACTGTAGGGATTGGAATCTTTTAACTAGCCATTGAGATAGGGATTCAAAAGGGGATTGGAAACAGTAACATTTAATGTCCAGATAATTTAGTTCTTCCTTTATTGGACGAGGCAAAGGTGGATACTGGAACCACCGCCCAACCATTTGTTCAGAAATGCCATTTATATATTTTAAGTCTTACTTGCCAAGGCTTATCTGCCATTCATACATTAAACATGTTTATGTTAAGCAAGTTTTTGGTCTTTGGTTACAACATACAAAACACCACACAATAGTGGCCGACGTTATGGAGTTTACAGATCATGTTCTTTGTTTTATTGCAAATAGTAGGAATAAGGTTCAGGTTTGCTGCTACCATAGGTTTTAGGTTAATCCTGTGGGTTTGAGATTTCTGGTTTCAGCAAATGTATGCGCAGATTCACCTGGGAAATTTTTAATTAAAACCAAAATGCACTGTACAGTTATTTTTAGCTACTGTCCCCATGCAAATATTTTTTTTTTTCTGAAGTGTTTCCCTTTAGAAAACGGCGGGCTTTTGTTTCAGGGATTTTTATTTCGGGGTTTTCATTACTATTTGGTTTTCATATTTTATTTTATGTTGATATGACCTTTTTGGGCGCTCAGAATTTTCTTGTTAGTGACCACCTGTTCTTGGAGCTGCCTTTATGTTCTCAGAAAAACTAAGTGCAAGAACAGTGTGTACCTAAATCACCTCAAATTATATCAGTCACAGTTACTGCACCCCTCTATACTCAAAGATACATAAAAGTTAAGCAAACACTGGTTAGAGATAATAACCCTTGTTAAAACTATTCTGCAGCTGGCATTAGGCTTAAACATTCATCTGGTAAAAATTGGTGATGATAAACTGGTCCTTGAAAAAAAGGTCCTGACAATCTGGAAGAGTCCATGGGGCATCTGCCTGATCAGGTAGGTGTACCACATCCTGGACTATAGAGACTGAGTATGAGGCAGTAATGTTTGGAGTTTCTCTTGGCAAAGTAAACTGGTTTGAGCTGTGTCTAGTATTAGACCCAGATACTCCAAGCGATGAGTCAGCTCCAACGCAGAAGGTTTGGAAGTAAACCAAACCTTTTCAAGTTTTGTATTGTCCACTCCACATTGTCAGTCAGAACCTGTGCCGAGTGTTCCCTTAATAGGAGGTCATCCAGATATAACAGAACTGGTATGTGCTTGATGTCCACAGAGGCCAGATAAGTTCCCTGATTGAAGGAGACTATGACCGATGTAGTGGATTCTATACAGAATTTGTGGATCTGAATGAAGACATCCAGGGCCTTTAGATTCAAAATTGGACGGATACCTCCTTTTGGATTGGGGACTTTGAAAAGGTTGGAGTAAAATCCCTGAAACCTTTCCGCAGTGGTAACTGGCAAATGGAAAAAATAAAAGACATGAACCAAGGAAGGGACAAAGAGTGAAACTCTAGCTTGTAGCCCCCATGGAAACCACCTCTTGTACCCAGATATCTGAGATGGTTTTTGTACAGGTGTCTACAAAGTCTAACAGGTGTCCCCCACTTTGAAAAGTAGGGACACTCCTTCAAGTTAAAGATTTCTCAGCAGGCTTGGGAGGCTTGAAAGCCAAGTGTTTATAGGTGCACAGGGTACCTGGTTTGGATCTGGCTTTGAAGGTTGAAGCACACAATGAGATGGGTGATGTCTACTAACTTGTCAACACAATAGTCTAGGGCTGTTGGTATGAGCTCAAAACGTTCCACAAACAGGGAATCAATTTCGAGGGAAACAGGATGCTGTCTTATTGCCCTATTCCATTCTCCTAAGTTTGACAGGTTAGCATCACAGCAATATTTCATCTATTGATTACTGTTGAGGATGTGCCTGTGTTTAACGATCACATCAATAAGAGTTTGGAAATTCTTTCACAAACCTATTTACGCCTGACTGGCCCTGCATTACAGCTTACATTGGCTGAGTCCACAGTAGGAACAGCCCATTCATCAGGAGTGTGCCAATCCCCATAAAGGACATCTAGGAGAAACAGGTGCATTAGGAAGGTCTTAGTAGTCTTAGGGCCTCTAAGAAGTCCTAGACAGAAGCACTGGTAGAATTGTAAGTGTTGTACACAGACTCAATGAGAGCTGAAACAGTCTCTCTAAACCTGGGATTAATAGCAACTGCTTGAGGCTCCTCAAGGGCAATATCCATTAAGGATGTTTGAGATTGAGCATCAAACAGTCTCTGCAACAAAAGGCTCAGAGTCCACTAAAAAGCCACAGGAAGATCAGATATAGATTCTGTAGGGCAAGGCGTGGCAACTGTTGGTGAAAGTCAGCAATCAGGATTGAAATTTATCCCATGAAATTCTGCATAGCTGTTGTTTAATTTGACAGTGTCCAAATCCTTCTATCGTTGGCGGTAAAACCCAATTGTCTCTAAATCCTGTGTCCACACAGTGAATGATAAAGAAAGCCTTTTTTTAAAGCTGAATTGAGTGTGGAGTGTGGTGCTGCTATGTAAAGTTCATTGTAAAATATGTGCTGTCAGTGTATGCTGCCACTTAAACTGTCCAGAAAAATCGTACATTTTTTTGTTTACATTGTATATATCCTAGATTTCAATAGGATTCAACGCTAAGTTCAGGTTCTCTGAACCCTTGGCAAATTGAACTCGGGCAGATTCCCGAGTTCAATTTGCCATCCCTAATTGCAAATAAACCAAGTTTGCTTTGCATCAGGAATGTGTAATCTACACAGCTAAAGGATGTCATTATGTCCATGGGCATTCAGAGATCTCTAGAAACAACTCTTGACCAACTGATCTTGAGGAAAGATTCAGAGAATCCAAAGATATATGAATCTATAGTTTGACACCTTGGAGGGAAATTATCAAAACTGGAGTAGACAGGATCTGAAGCAGTTGCCCAGGGCAAACAATCAGCTTGTATCTTCAGTTTGTTCAGTTAATATTTGAAAATGAAAGAGAGATGCTGATTGGTTGCAGTGCAAATCTGCTTCAGATTTTGTCTGCTCCGGTTTTGATAAATTCCCCCCCTTATGTCTGCCTATTGGTTCTGTAATGTGATGGGTAACCTACTAGACCCTGAAAGAGGTTGGGGAGGAGTCAAGCTTGCCTTGTACAGAAAAAGTCATGGTTTACATAAATCCTCAGTTGCATATACATTTGTATCCACTTATTGTGTTATATACAGTGTTCACTGAAGGTAACCTATGCTTATGAATGTTTGCACAGTAAGCTAATTTTGAGACCAGGTTTGAGACCAGTTTGTGTTGCTTCTATAAGTAGCAATTGCCAATTTTACTAATAAACTAGAGCAACTCGTCACGAGCAAACAAAACAGAAGTTAATCTTGTGGTTTATGAGTCAGTAAGCAATGATCACATATTGCACACATTTCTGAGGAAATCAGTGACCATATTCTTCAAGCTAATCAAAAATGATTCTATAAATACTCATGTTGCGTAACAATCTTCTCCTTGTATGATTTCACAGGATTTGGAGCTGTATAGTCATGATTCATTATCTGCAGACATTGCTTAAAATAAAATGCTTTTTATGTATTTTTGAGCTGAGTGATATGAGGTGAAGAACCTAAAGCAGAACTAAAGTAGGTATAAAAAACCACAATTTAGCCCACTTATGTATTAATTCAAAAAATTATTACATTTATTTATTAATAGAATGTGTATAAGTACCTGAAAAAGTCTTTATATCAGCTTCCTTGCTTGCACAACAGCACAGGAGGTTCAGCAATCTGAGCCAATAAAGGTTCTATTGCTTTTTAGAGTGCTGTCAGTCTAACACTGTCAACACAATTACAGAAAGAGTGAGCAAAGCATTGCCGTGATCAGTGTGGTGGTGTTCCTTTAGGTCTTGTTCACACCTGAGCGTTTTGTCACACAAAGTTTCCAATTGCAGTCTCTGGGACCAAAAAGCAGTGTAATCGTGTACCATTTTCAGAAACAGGTGTTTTTCTGCTTGCAACAAAATGCTTAGGTGTGAACAGGGGCCACATAAATGAATGGGGCTCCTTGTCTTGAGTGTTTTGACACACTCAAGACAAGCGAATGGGATACCTTTGAACGTCAAAATGCCTAGGTGTGAATGGGCACTTACTGACCAAGCAGTATTGCCTAATTGTCATTTGGACCGGGTTCGGTTTGAACCAGAGCTCATCCCTAATGTAGTGGACACCAGAAGAAACAGAAGGGGCACATCACTCTAGCAGTTGCACAGATATTATTCAAATCTGACAGTGTCTCTAACCCTTCTCTATTCTATGAAAAAAAAGCTTTGTCTGAACATACATTTTATGTATAGTTAATGCGAAATCAAAATATTAGTAAGTGACATGTCTAGTCATTACTGGAAATGTACTATCTGCATTGTACAGCAAGTTTGAGTGCATGATGAAATTATTCTAGACCTCCCCCGAGTGCCTGAATAATACAACATAGTCGAGTGAATGTTGACAAAGTATTTAATCTGCATACTTGTTAGCCAAATCTTGGAAATTCTTAGTGACTAAGCAAGAAGAACATGGATATCATGATGAGTGATCACAGTTCTAGTGAATGCAGTGCATATATATTTTTATAAATATTCAAGAGAAAACATTTCCATATTTTTAGTGTCTCATATTAGAAGGAGCTTTACATTCAGAAATCATAATGAACATTGATTCCTTCTTCACACATGCCAGTACATGGGCCATGACTGTCATTGTCCTTCGTGTCCTGGTTCATTCAATAACATCTGGGGGAGGCGTTTTTTATTATCTCATTATGTATTGATAGATGAAAGGTTCAGATGTCTTTCATAACTGTAAACAAAGAAATCACAAAACATTCACACAAGTAGTGAATATGTACACCCAGCCCAACGCTGCAATATGCTACACCTCATGCAGAAACAGAACTGGGGAAGCTCCCACTGTATTATGGCAAAGAAACATTTCTGTTACCTGGTTCAAAGAGGTGACAACCAATTCTCCGGCAGATTTACATTACAATCACGACAGTCCTTATACTATTACAAGTTGTAATGTTTCCTGCAGTGTATATTCTAAATGAGTAAATCAGACTGTACATCTAGCTAGATTTAAACACTCCTGATTCTGTTGTGGATTTGTCAAAGAATTATCTGTAACCACAATTATTAATCAAGCTACGAAGCTGAAGATTGCAATAATATAAGTATCTTTTGGGATAAACATTCAATATTGCTGGTATCTGCTTAGGGGTGACTATAAATGGATGCACAAACTAGTAGAAAGCGCTTGTTTTTAGGGCTGTGGAAATTAAAGATTAATTTCTCGATTAATCGTTTAAACTTTTTGATCGATTAAAATTATTTTGATCGCTAATGAAAACACTCACCTCTCTGCCGGCTTCCCGGGAGTCCCGTCGACGATCCGGTGACGTCACGGACATGGACGTCACCGGACTCCTCCCCCTTCCCCAAGTGGCTCCGTCGGCTAACGAAGGGAAGAGGGGAGGAGTCCGGTGACGTCGATGTCCGTGATGGCTAACGCAGGGAAGGGGAGGAGTCTGGTGACGTCAATGTCCATGACGCCACCTGACTCCTCCCCCCTTCGTTAGGCGACGGAGCCACTTTGCCCAAGAAACTTTCTGCACGAGAGCCAGCCAAGGCGTTGGCCTATACACATACAGCACAGCAATGAAGTAATACAATGAACTAGGATCACACTAATCCAGCACGTTATTAATCTCACGTGCCCCACTCAATATGGCCGCCGCTTGAGTGGGGCAACTCAGAATAATAACGTGCTGGATTAGTGTGATCCTAGTTAATTTTATTACTTCATTGCTGTGCTGTATGTGTATAGGCCAATGTAGTTGGATCAGTATGTGCGTTATAATTAATCCAAATTAATCGATTAAAAAAAATTTCGATTAATCATCATTACCAGCCCCACTAGTTTTATATGATTTTATGTACCAATAAAGATGGAAATGTTATACATAGCTGGGTACTGACCATGAGTGGTGTTTTTGATACCTAAAAAGCGCCCTTTGTATATGCTCATTTGTTCTGCAATAATATAATTGTATGACTAAGAACAGACAAAGCTGTAAGTGAAATTTAAACCAAATGTAGCACAGGTCGGGGCAGGTAAAAGTCATTATTCGTAATTAGGTCAGGTATGCATCAATAGTAAGTAATCAAAAAGAACCCAGCCTAGGACTATTTGCATCAACTCACGGAAACAGAGAAGGAATTCAATATACTAGGCACACTGTGGTCAACTACAATGGAATTTTCACAGACACACACTGATACAAACAAACACAAAGTAAAGAAGGCACATAACAAATCATAATAAATCATACTATTCAGAAGTCTAGTGATTGTATGTCATTGTTAACTAGACAGTGAACAAGGTCTTAGATGTACTACACAGCATTACAAGGACATTAAATAAATGTGGAAATTGAACCCAAATATTTTCATCTTATGTAGAATGGGAAGGGGTTAAATTCTCTGGTTTTTATTAGTACCTAGGGCCTTAACAAAGTAAGTTCTCTGACTTCCTCCCCCAGTGACACTTTTATCACTGGGATAGGAAATGAGAAAAATATATCTAACTTGGACGCAAAGGCAATACATTTGCCTAAAACAGAAGACATCTAGAACCATTATCAGCCTTTAATTGGTGTTTGTGATCCAGGTGGAGATGTCCTCTAATTTCTTCTCCCATTGACAATATTAAGGTGCAAAAAGGAATCCACCATACAAATTGTGTGAAAGTCCACAACAAGTTTTATTCAACTTTATTATAGTTGGCAGCATAGAATGAACAATCCTGTAAAAATTACAGGATTAACAGTAAAATTACTTGTTTCAAATGACAGTTTTAGCAGTCTAGTTTCTACTGCCTTCGGCATTTCCCAAGCCCTGACCTGAGGCCAAGATCTAAGGGTGACCCGTTAAAATCCATGAAATGCATTGGCTTTACTTGAATGTGTGATTAGTAAAAAGAAAAAACTGTTCTGGACTTTAAAACAATGTGGTATGAATTTTCTTATTGGACAGCTCCACAAGGAGTAATGGCCAGAGGCTGGTCCATGTCTCAGATAAATGTGGGTGCATCAAGGTAAGTGCCAGGCATAATGGGGTTGATTTACTAAACGCGAATGGGCTGTTGACTTTGCAAGGGAATTTTCCCTTAGCTTAGGGAATGTGGTGAAAATTCACTTTCCGAAGTATATCACGTGCAAGAAAAATAAAGAAAAAAGTATTTTGGTTTGCACATGATTGTATGATGGAAGTAAGCAGAGCTTCACTTTATCTACTAAGGGAATATTCACTTGCAAAATAAACAGCATATTTGCCTTGAGTAAATTAACCCCAATGTGCCTGGCACTTTCCTTTTTGCACTCACATTTCATCTGAGACGTGGACTTGCCTATTGCCATTACTCCTTGATGAGCTGACCAATAAGAAAATTCATACTTATTCCAGACCTAAGACTAAATTACACACACGAGAATTAATGACCCAATGCACACTTCTCTTTGACTCTTTGAAGAAGAGGAGAGGGGAAGAGGGAGAGGGAGGAATCTCTCCAACAGACCACAGAACCCCATTAAATACATTATGGAGGATTAAATCAGTCTTTTCAAAGCAACATTTTTTCTTTTGCTGGAGCCACTGTGTTCTGTGTATTTAAGACTAAATAGAATTGGGTGAAAAGCTTTTTATAAGGGTGAAATGAGGGTCTCTGCTTGTGTGAGTGGGTTATTCCTCTATATAGCAACACTGAAGCATGATCAACTACACATCAGAATCTCACACAGAAGACACTTTTCTGGAGAAAGACATAATTACCCAAACTTAAAGTCACTTGGTAAATGGTTTCCTGTCTGATAGTCACTCCTAGTTTTCACTATTTGTTTCTGGAGATCTTTTATTGATCTGCTATAGCCATTGAAAATGTAGTTGGCAAACATCAGCTTTCCATAAATATACATCTAGAACAAAAAATAAAGGATAAAACGTCATCATAATACAATACTGCATTTGCCATCTGAATGTATTAAACATTCTAATGTAAACACAATCACTAAAATATCTTAAGCTGTAACAAAAGTAATTTGTGTAAAGTAATTCACCCTCAATGATCCCAGCAAAGACTCTAAAGTTGTCTTTTAGTCAGTTTTAATAGCTTAGAAACACCTGCTATGTGTTTACATTATAGGGCTGGTAGCCTGCCAAGATGCTGCTCTCATAGAACATAAGGAAGGAAGCAGTTGTGATTTCTGTGCCTTGGAATTTCTCTACAGTGCTTATAGCTACAGAGGTAAATAAGATCAATTTGTTTTTAAAGTACCTTTACTGCTATATGTAAAAACGTTAGTTCTACATAAAGTAAAATTTATATTATTCAATGCTATCCTATAAATCCAATCTCATTCAATCTGAGATTTCTGACAAATGTGTGCCACAATCCTAAACTCTTTCATACCCAAATGGTAGCTGACAAGACGTTTTCTCTAATTTACAGTGGACTTTTCCCAGCCTACGTATACCACCCATGTCCATTGTGGCAACAATTTTTCATCTGCACCTGTTAAAACTACAATCTGAATTTCTACACAGTCTTAGCTGTCATCCTGGGTCTTTAGTGAGGATCTCCAGACCTTGCACACCCACATTCTACTTATTCTCAGTCTTCAGAGCCCTCAGCTGTAAATACTTATGTTTTTTTCTAGTGATCAATAGATGTCTGTAGAGGATATATTCTTTCACACAGAATATTCTAATCCCTGTGATGACTACCAGAAAGTAGGTAGAACAAAGATATTTATTCTAATGACCAAAAGTAGAGTATCTTCTTTTATCTGCCAGTCCTCCAGCAAGCCCTGCACCAGAGTGAGATGTACCATGAAAAGTGCAAGTCAAACAATTTATTAACACTCATTTATCATGTGCCTCAATCATAAACTATGATTATGATTGAGGCATGTAGTGAAAGATATATCACTACAGTTTCAGCATAACTTCACATAGTAACCTACAGTGCAGATTTGGCACTGCAGATACATGATACTATAGCAAGTGCTGTAGCAAACACATTTATTTGGAATGGAGGGGTCTAGACAATCGCTAACAGAACTAGGGCCTTGAGTAGCCCTCTAATATTCTTCGGACAAGGTTATACGTAATGGAAGGAAGTGCAGGCCAGATGAACACGGGATACAATGTAAACTTGTGATCAGTTTCAGAGTTACACTGGATAAAAGGTACAGCCAATAAGGGGTAGCCACTGTGGGTGTCATGTATTAAATTGTCTGAATGAAGAGCTATATCCACAGCCTAGATAATGATTACCCTTATTTGTCTAGAGCAGCGTTTCTCAACCTTTCTTTTTAGTCACGGCACACTTTAAAAGTATTCAAAATTTTGAGGCACCCCAGTCTAAAATGTCTTAGATTTTAAGAGGCACCCCTCTTTCACATCAGAGCTCCCCTTTTGCATCAGAAGCCACCTTCACATCACAGTCCCACTGCCACAAAATTTTCAGGCACCCCTGTAGAGGCGAGGAGGCACCCCAGTGTGCCACGACACCCTGTTTGAGAATGGCTGATCTAGAGTACGAAAGGTAAGATGATTTTTCTCCAGGCAATTTTGATTTCCTTAGCCATTTTTATATTGGACACCAGAAGACTATGGACAAAACCTAAACATGGATTAATATATAATATTTATTAGGGATGTCCCGTCCCGATGCCACTTTTTTAAGTACAAGTACAAGTACAAGTACTGGCAATCATGTACTTGCCGATACCAATTACCGATACTTTTTCTATGGGGCCCTGTGATTTCTAGTTACGCCCCTGATAACATGATTAGGTTAATCATGATCCATAGTACAGTACAGTCCATAGTACAGTACTATCTGATTGGACAACACATTTTATAGGAGACATACTCCGCGCTGGCGGATCGGAGGGGGGAATCCATCCCCTCCCCTGTCACGGCAGAGAGCCGTGACAGGATCGAGAAGTGAGCGAACACCGGCATGTGTTCGCTCACCTCCCGATCTACTGAGCCGACCTGTGACAGTCTCATTGTCACAGGTCGGCTAGAACTATGAGGTGACAGAATATTTTGTATCTATGGATATTTCTGTTAATAGTGAATCACACAAAGTCATTTTCATGGTGTTTATTTTGTTCAGTAAATCCTTTTTATAGCTAAATGGAAAACAAATAAAATGAACTATATGCACCCAATTTCCAGTCTCTGTTCAATAAATGTTTGTTTGTTCTAATGTATGTTTGGTTTAATGCCATCGGAACAGCAAAATGTATTAGAATATAAGCCAGCACAGCTAAATTCTCCCCATCTGTGTAGAGTAAACAATGTTGTCAAGTCAGTTTCTTATGCAGGAATGCCAAACATGACATAATTTATTGAAGAATGTATTTCTATGGATGTGTGCCGAAGTAAGCACAGATTGCTGACAATGCCAGGCAATCTGTTCAGCCTACATTTTATCAGTCCTGGAGTGGTATAGTTAACCCGTGGAGGATAAGTTCATAGTGTTGTCTTTTTAAATAAAAAATCGTTGGTAATATCCATGCAGAAAAGGACATGGACTACAGCATGTCGCTGCTTGATGTGACACAATGACACAAGAGGGTCATTTTTCTAGAATGGTAACAGTAAAGGCTCATACTGCCACCCAGTGGACAGTATAATTGATCAGTTGTAATACTACAGCATCAGCAACTGGTCATAAGGAAAATGTGCAGGCTACCACTGCTAACCTTTGCCTCTGAAAATGTGACTTACCTGACTGTCATGTCCACCCAGTGGACAGTATAATTAATCAGTTGTAATACTACAGCATCAGCAACTGGCCATAAGGAAAATGTGCAGGCTACCACTGCTAACCTTTGCCTCTAAAAATGTGACTTACCTGGCTGTCATGTTAGTCCAAAGATTTTAAGGTTTGTGTCACTGACTAGGAACAAGTATGCAGATCAGGAGTTCTCACTTAACTCCAACTGAGTTTGCTGCAGGTTTGTTTAGAAAGTGACTCAGAAAATATTGAAGCCATAGACAGATAGGCAATTGCAGAAGGTTAGCAATGGCATTCCACACATTTCTCTCAGTATGCATTTCCTTTAAATCCTTAACTGCAGGTTTTAGATGATAACTGCCATGTAATGTATTCTTTTAATTAGATGTGTTTGTAATCAAAGCATTTTGCTTCATAATGAATAACTCCCTTTCCTCTAGTGTTATCAGACATTGTGTAAATTTCAACCTTAATATCATACCAGGATCATTCCAGGTGCTGCATTGTGCCGCTGAACAAGTAAAGGATCCTTGTGATCAGTGTATAGATTGCAGGTGCTGATGTCATACTTCAAGAGGCGGAAAGAGTCTAGTCGGCTCTGTAATACAAGATAAGTATTTACGTCAATTAAAAGAAATGTTTGAAAACACCTGGTCTATTGTAGAAGCAATCAACTGAAGAATTTGCAAGAGGGTGTGAATTTGGAACACATACAAAGAGACAGAACAAGTGTCAAATTTGTTAAAATGTAGCACCTACATCTAGATACAGTAAAAAATATAATCTACAGCAGTGGTTCTCAACCTGTGTAACCTCAGGACCCACATATGTCCTTGGTCATTAAGCCGCGACCCAAGTCGCACTCCAATGGAACGCACGGCATTAGGGTACCTCGAGTTCCGGTGCGAGTGTATAAACTGTGGGTGGGAGGTGCGTCTGGGGTACCATTCAAATGAATGGCAACGCAACACACCTCCCACACCAGAATGCACGGTAGGTGCGATTGCATGGTACAGTGTGTTGATTACTGCACTGTACTAGTGTGAATGAGCCCTCAAAAACACAGACACGCACAATCCCACATTATCACAGACATATAAACACTAATTTAATTTAATTTATTTTAGGGTTCACCCAGTGTCCCTACCTTACGAGAACGGGAGTGGATCCTCAGCCTGGGGTCCAGTGTGGGATGCTGTGCTGTAAGGGAGCTCCATCCATATGTCCATTACTTGTACAGCTCTCTTGCGCGCCCTGCGGAGGTGCCGGGAGCCAGAATGTGATGGCACCTCTATAGGACACGTGAGGGAGCTGTAAGCAATGCACGCATGGATGGAGCTCCCTCACAGCCATAGCCCCAGCCCACCTCAAGCTGATGCTCAGTGCGGCGCAGGATATTGTGAATGGTTGCTTGGTGCGAGAACTGACAGTGCTGTGCTAGGGGGAGGAAGAGGAGCCTCTCGCCTAGAAAAGTGGGAGGCCTGCAGCGACCCACTGAACACGGGGTCGCGACCCACTTTTGGGTCATGACCCACCAGTTGAGAACCAAGGATCTACAGTCATGTGAAAAATGAGTTACACCCCATGGAAATGGACTTTCTCAGCATATTTATACATGCATACATTTGATGTCTATTCCAACAGTGTCTCGAGATAAAAGTTCTTTTTGGACAACAAAGGCTTTTTCTTAACACACGTCCCACACAAGTTGAATTTGTGCAATCTCTTTCTGATTGCAGATGCATGAATTTTTATCCTAACTGTTGCAAGCATTACTTGAACACCCCACAATGATATTGTAGGTTTCTTGCAGACTTCTATTAGCATGAAATGGTCAGCTTTTGGGTTCGATTTGCTAGACTGGCCAGTCTTGGAAAATATATTATATTTCTGATATCTAAGCCACTTGTGGATTTCATGCCTACAGTGCAATGATTGTTTTTAAACCATGTGGTGATCTTTTTAAATCCCTTGCACGACTCATAGGCATCCACAGCTTTCTCTGGGTCTTAGAAAGCTGTATAGATCCTGGCATGATGACATGACATGTCAATAGCAAAGAGAACACTGGACCCTAATCAATGGCACCTAATCTGGAACACCGGATTCTAATTTTAGGGATTTGAAGTAGCGATAAATACTTTCCATACAACACATCTGCATTTTAGTTCATGAAAAGTAATACACCGTGTCAATTTTAAGTCTCATGTGTTCAATTATATCATCTTTATCTGCAGGCACTGCTTGGATCAAGATCTAATGTTTACTTGTTCAAATATGTTGAAAAAGTTAACAACTTTTTTAGAACGATATTATTTGTAGAATTAAACACAGATTCCCCCACCCTTTTTTTCTATCTGTAATGTCAAAAACAACACAGTTGCCAGTACAAGCAGATAAAAGGAGGGTTCTGTGCAGGGTTGTGGCACTTAATTTTTGTAGCAAAGCAGACAATGACCTTCAGAAAGAGCTCTGGGGGAGACCTACTGTTACTTAGGCTGGCCATAGACATTAGGTAGATATTCATGCACAATCCACCATCTATTGAAGGCCTCTGCACCAGCTTCTCTCCTGATCATGAATACTCTAGTCAGAAACTTGTTTGGGCCAACTGGAGGAGGAACCAAGCACAGATGACAACAGTAGCAACTGAACCAGATTATAAACTGCTTGATAGGTTTCTAAAAACACTAATTTGGAACACCGTGCACTTCCCCATGTGCACTGGCACATTCACCCAGTCCAGCGACTTTGGGAGACTGGCATCTAATGTCTATGAGCCCCTTTAGAATCAAGAGATCACCTAATGTCTATGAGCCGCTTTAAAATCAAGAGATCACCTAATGTCTATGAGCCCCTTTAAAATCAAAAGATCACATTTGGATCAGTTGGGTATTGGGGCATGCCCATTAAAAAGTTCTGCTAGTGTTGTGTTGTCTGATATCAGTTTGCATTGCTAGAAAAGAGATACGAGTTTGTAGATAGGCAATAGAAAGTCTGGACTAGATTGCTATGCCTGCTGCACACTGTGCCCTCTAGCATATGCAAACAAGGGGGAAGGCGGATGATAACGATGTTAACAAAAGCAATGTATTAAAATATTCAATGGCTATAATATTCTGTAATAAAAGAAACATGTCCACTAATGGATAGGGTTGCCACATGTCCGGGATTCACCAGGATAGTCCGGTTTTTGAGTCTTGTGTCTGGGTTTCCAGCCAGCAGACACCCAGACACAAGACACTAAGTGCTGATGCCGACACTTCACATTTTTTGACAGATGCGACTGCTGAGGTCCCCAGTGAGCGCGGGACCTCAGGCAGCTGCATCTGCCTGAAGCTTTATCTTCCTGTGAGCCGCAAGCTGGCTCGCACATCTCCTCCTCTGTCTGACACATCACTGCCTCCCTCTGGACCCCTGGTGAGACACTGCATAGCCACCACACCAAAGCCTGCATAGCCTACCAAAGACCCCACACAGTCACCTGAGAGCCTGCATAGCCACCTGAGAGCCTGCATAGCCACCTGAAAATCCACACAGCCTCCTGAGAGACCGCATAGCCCACCTAAGAGTCCAAAAAGCCCAACTGAGAGTCTGCACAGCCCACCTGAGAGCCCGCACAGGCCCCCTGAGACCCTGGAGACATCAGGGCGCCACCCCGGAACACAGAGTACGTCGCTTCATATTATTTTGCATTGTTGTAAAATGTATTGCTGGTATTTGTAGTCCTCTATAGCCCGTCTCCTTACTACCTGCCCTGGCTGCCTCTCCTTGCTCTCCTCTATATTCTAAAAAAAAAATGCTGCGTGCGGTGCTAGAGTGTTCGGGTTTCACAAGAAGAAAAGGTGGCAATCCTACTAATGGAAAACAGTCCGATAGCACTTCATATTCTCTATACTAACCTGCATGCATGGCATACTTCTGTAGCTGTTCTTTTTTTCATACAATTGATCAAGCACATCTGGTCGGTGATTATCCTCAGCATCCAGAGATGACACAACACATACAACAATGATTTGCACTGAAGACAGGAATTTATTGTTAACAAGCTGGTCAAACTCCAGGTCTGTGACATAGGGGATCTGGTGGGTACTACACCTACATATCCCACCTTCCTCACCCAAAAGGACTTTCTGAATGACCACAGGGCAGGTGTAGTGTGATATGTGCCATAGTTTTTCAGATTCTTGTTCAAGACTACATACAGGAACTGATGGTGCTGTTTCAGGCCTAAGACAGGGAATTAAAAAGAGACATTCAATTGGAGTACACAGATAAAAGAAATAACGAACCAATCATAAATTAAAGAAAACTGACAATATTGTGTGTTGACATATGCATTGTGTGACAAAATATACATCAACAATGTAGAACTAATTCACATAGCTCCAAACATGAATACTAATGTGCAAGTATCAATAACAATATTTCAAACTCACAGAGTAACATTTTTTCACTGGTATAGGATCTCCCAAAAACACCCCATCTCCAACAATGTTTGACATTGAAAATATAATTTACAAAAATAAATAATAATGAAAACAATAATATATATATATATATATATTTGTCTCATGTACACATGTACATGAGACTACTATAAAAACATGTACAGGGAGGCTGTCCGTTATAGTAATGGAACAAAAGGAACGTAAGTGGTGGAACTCTTTGAATAGCTCCGACACTACGCGGAAGTGTCAGAACTACGAAACATTCACCTGTGATAGGAAGGTTTGGGAGGCTGCTTCAGGTATGTGCAGGCACCTTTTTGGAGCATTCATACAGAATTTCAGAAAGCTCCTAATGGTCAAAAATGAGCATGCCCTAGCTTAAAGTTGTAGTTATGTAACACATAATACCACTTACCCTGATTTACTGACAATATTTGAGCCAGGTACATTTTTACTAATGCTTGGATCAGCAGATGTGTGCTCTTTTCTGGTGCTTGACAATGAAGAAGGCCTGAAAAAATAACTGTTGCATCAACTACAGTATATTCAAACAGCGCATATGGACAACATATTACATAATTGTATATATACTTTTAGGATTTAAATAATAACCCAACTAAATGCAAATATGTTCATTGGAACTGGAACATCATACAAATTAGACTACTGATTATTATTCAAACACACCAACATGCTACACAACAGGCCTCACTTTTAAAGACATAGAATAGTGTACGTATATACATACTCTCATACCTAGGGGAGGCAGAGCTTAGGGATGTATCCCAGCGCATATTATGAGCATGGGCAGGAGCTGACAGGAAGCGTCCATGTAGATGAAAATGTTCTTTGCTCAGTAAATTCCTGGTATCTGTTTCTGTTACAAGATGAGTGTTCGGTACAGGTGTAGTTACTATGAAAGGAGTAGCAGATTGGACCTTCCTTTTGCGTGATGTTTTGGGAGGTGAATCAGACATCCTCTGTATGTGAGGTGAATCAAGTCCTGTGAAATCAGACTAATGTCATGAACCAAACTTTTAAATTCTGAAAAACTCAAAAAGGTCTTATATGGAGTACTTTTAATCTGATACCACAAAGAACATTTGACATCCTCTGGCTGATCTTGAGCGGCCTACTGTACATAATATCAGTCAAACCTATAAGTTATTATATCATTATGGAACTTTATGATGTATTCCATTTTCTAGCCATGTCACCATGGACTCTACATTTTTTTTTTTTATCAGTCATATGTGGGTTATATGGCTGACTGGAGTCCACAGAGTTCAGAAAAATGTTTTGTCTTAAATTGAACTTTTCCATTCCTCGGGCATAGGGGTAGCTTCAGAATTTGCTCCATCGCATTCCCTACATGGCCAAGCAAACGAAACAACGTTGTAGGCGGTAGGCAAATTTTGTCTTTTTGCCAAACATCATAAGCTAGGCTCTCATCTCCTTAGCTCTACCTTAGCTGCTGATATATACATAGATCAGTGACACATACAGTAACTACCACTGGAAGGGCAGATGTGTCTTTGACATGCAGACTGGAAGTGACAGCTTGGTTTCACATTGCTAAGCTGTGCAAGAGGCAACCAACAAGGCAATAACTGGGTCTCTAAAGCCACTCTGGAGTGGAGTTTTGCACAATGATTATGCAGAAGTAAGTTATTTATTAGCTGTATAGTTCATACTGTATATACTGGTGGCATCTATAAACATTGTCAAAGGAAATGGGTTGCCTTAAATGCTCAATATTTTGCTGTTAGAATTTGAAAACTAGAAAAAAAACTTTGAACACCATCACTTTTTTTTAATTCTTCATTTATAAACAACTCGGGTACAATAAAATAGACAATTATAAATAGAAAATGCTCATGAATATGACTCCCAGATGACAGCATGAAGATCCAAGAAAACGTGCACCTCCAAAAAAGTATACAGACATCTTCAATTGTCAACAATCATTTGCAACCATCGTACTCAAAAACTGTCTCCGAACCCGAGTAGTAACCTTTTTACTTTTTGTTTAGAAACATTACAACAGAATAGTTCTCATACGAAACCTCCAACTCCCGACTAACCGGAGAAAGAGGAAGATGAATAAAAACTAACTAATCATGAGAAAAGCAAGACATGACAAAGAACAAACACGAAGCTACAATGAGCGAGAAAGAAGAGAAACGGGGCTTAGAAAGGGGAGCAAGACAAGGGAAGGGAGGCGAGAGAGATAGAGAAAAAGACAAACCACAAAAGAAAAAAAGGGGGGGAATAGAGGAATGCAAGATACCAGATTGGGGCAAGTTTGAATGTTTCTCTTAAAAGGCATGAACACACTTTAAAGTAATCCCGCCTCGACATGAAAAGTGCCTATTGATACTGTAACTGTATAAAAAAAGAAAAGCATATACTTACCTCCACCGCTGCCGACACCTCTCTAACCCTGAGAAATACTCCTCTGATTTTTACTGCAGGAACTCATGTTTTTGGGAGTGTCGATCTCCTGGTCCCCTGTTACACTTGCTGATTTCTAAATCTCTACTGTGTCCTGTAGTGACGTGGGGGTCGAGGAGGAGGAAATTAACACTTTGGGAAGTGTCAGTTTCTGCAGAAGACTTCAGGGAAGATTTCTCAGGATTGGAGTGGCACGGGTGGCAGGAAAGGTAAGTTTACTTTTACCTGTTACAGTTACAGTATTAATAAAGCATTCATAGGCACTTTGAGTATAACTGAACTTTGGGATACCAAAGCAACGTTGCAGTTTACCTCTGCCTTTACTTTCCATGTGTAACTTGCAGCAGTGAACAGTTATCACAGACACCTTGGAATTTGGCAGGGGCAAGCTTTATACTTTTTTAAATCTATGAATCAACCTACAATCCCATAGTAAATCTGTACTGTTGCTCCAGTATTGCACTGATTTATTGTACAACAAAGTACTAACTTTTCCCCTTTTGTGAAATGTACGTTTCATCATTTCAGTTAACAGGGAAAGGGCTGTCATAGAAAAAATATTTTCTGTTTGCGTGTAATGGGACAATAGATGGGACTCACCAGAAGCCAATCTATAATGCTCCATCCAATCCTCTGCAATATTTCTGATCTTTCTTTGAAGTTTCCGGAGCTCAGTAGCTGCATTAAAGTCATTTGAAGGGCTGATATTGTCCTCAGGAATTTCAAGTGTTTTTACCAGCTCTGATAAAATTGTCTGCATTATAAAAGAAAAATGTGCATCTCATTATATAAAACACAATGATTTCTTAACCACTAATCTCACATCACCTTACCAATGTACAAAGATCTTCGGATTGTATACATAAAGAATAAGAGAGCATTGTTCCAATCTTGCATAGTTTACATTTTGTTATGCTACAGTATATCTAAACATTGCAAGAAATGACCCCAAAGGAATAATAAAATGTTTATGCTTCCGCTGCAGTTATGACAACAGCTGGTCTAAGTAGATAAAAGCCAACCCTAAATTGTGTTTGGTATATTTATATGTTGAGGACATTATATTATTATGATTAACAGGAGCAGGAACTGAAATGAATTACTTGGTATTTGCAGAACATGTTGGTTATAAATAAAAAAGTAGTAATATTTTGCATAATGTGTCAAATGCTGATATTGCCTTCACGGGCCTTTATGATGCCTTATTATGCAGGTCTTTTATTCTGCGTACTGGCCTCATTTGCCATTACAGATATATAGGCTGCTCTGTCTTTTGTTACAGCTTTCAGTCTGAGCTTTTTAGGGTATAAAGGTGTTAGTTACCACATTTGTATTGTCATCTGTAATAAAGGTTAACATTTTATTAATTTGGTAATGCATTTGAAATGTGGTAAAGACAGGATTCTAACTATAAACACAATGATTCTACAAAAGTAAAATTATATCACAGCTAATAAAACTCTCCTGACTCCTCGGCTGCATCAATTCCAGGTAGCAGCTCATTAGGGGAAAAGGCTCTCAGAGTACCCTTTTCTCTATAGTGACAAAGGAGAAGAAAAATACAATGCCGTGAGCAAAAGTTGATCATTCATGAGTAGTTTGTATTATGTGGATTAATGATTGCATATAATAAAAATAGAATTAACAGTAGCTTTCATTTATAATGTATGAGACTTGGACACACAGTCAGTAATATTATCCTTTGTGAATACAAAGACACACCGCATAGTAGAAGTTTATGGCCTGACTGCCCTGTGTACTTTTCAGGGAAAGATAACATATCAAAATCATATATTTTATAAATGAATAATATAAAAGTATTGCAACAAGTGAAATGTTACTATAGGGGGCTCATAGATATAGCAGAAGGATGAACATTTGTTCAAAATCATATGTTTATTTTAAAGGACAAGTCTACTTATCATATAGTTTACTTTACCTAAACTAATGCTTATCCACACAAGTCACAAGTAAACTTATTTGCACTAACACCTCTCCACTGTCTACCTACTCTGTGACAAAATTCCCTTCAGTGTTGGCTGTGCTTTGGACGTGAATGTACTAAGGATTACCTTTGAGTCCTACAAGGGTTACAATGCATAAACACAGTCAGCAGTCACAGTCAGGAAGAGAATTTAGTTGCAAAGAAGGTAAACACCAAAGCAGGTGGTAGCTATGATAGAAGTAAGTAAGCTCAGGGGTGGAACTACCGATGGTGCAACTGCTGCAGCCGCCCCAGGGCCCAAGGCTGGGGGGGGGCAACTGCCCTCTGACAGGGGAGGACTGGACCGGGAGGCATTTGCGTAGAGTAACTACCGCCATGCCTGGGGCAGAGGGGAACCCAGTCAGGAGGCCGGGGCCCAGCAGCGGATATGGAGGAGGCCGGGGCCCAGCAGCGCCGGTCGGTAGGTGATGGAGGTCGGGGCCCAGTATCCCCAGTCCAGAGGTGGAGCAGGCCAGGGCCCAGCAGCAGGTAAAAGGAGCTGCATGTGCAGGGAAAGAGACCCCGACGTGTCCACCTATGATCTATGGTGGGCTCTGCAGGGTCACTCTCAGGTGGGCTCTGCGGGGTCTCAGTTGGGTACAGAGACTAGTGCATTCTTAAGTCCAGTCCTGTGCATTCCTAAGTCCAGAGTCCAGAGCGTTCCTATGTCCAGAGTCCGATGCGTTCTTAAGTCAAGAGTCCAGACCTGTATTATTGCTGTAGAACCATGGATTGATGGGATCAATGATTATACCACAAAAGAGAATGGCAACTGGCTACAGAGGACTACGAATCTCAGCAATCCATGATTGCTGGTTGCCATTCTCCATTGCTGAATAATCATGGATTGCTGAGATTAGTAGCCCTCTATAGCCAGTTGCCATTCTCCATTGAGTATAATCATGGATTGATGGGATCTGCAGTCCTCTAATGCTGGTTGCCATTCTCCATTGCTGAATAATCATGGATTGAGTTACAGTTCTTCATAATTATAAAGAAATTGCCCTAAAATCTTTAGTCTGTATTGTTTTAGAAAAATATCACGTCCCTTTAAGAAAAAGTATCGGTAATTGGTATCAGCAAGTACCTGAGGGAAAGTACTTGTACTTGGTCTTGAAAAAATGGTATCAGAACATCCCTAATCTATTATACTATTAGACTGTGTATTACTTCTAAAGTTTGACGCTTTTGTTTTAAATGAATTTAGTAAGTGCAGTGAACCTAATGCTATTGACATCCTTTTTGCTCCCACAGGATTTCCAAGGTAATTCATGTATGCCACTGCTGATGTCTCAGAATAAGTACCATGGTATCCAAATCGTAAGAACTCATATTGTCTACATAAACACATTCATTGTACTTACAGTTTTCTTTGTACTTCTCTTTAAATCCTTCTCCTTGGTTTTTTTTCTGTTTCCCTTTGCCATTTCTTTGGCTGTTCTTGATGAAAAATTTTCATTTGTCATAAGCTGACCCTAAAATAAAAGAGGAAGAATTCATGTTTAAACAGACAGTCTGAAGACAAAAAAAAGTGTTGGTCTTTGGAGGAACTTACCAGATCTTCAGCCTGTGAAGGAGGGATGTCTTGAAGTGGTGAGAGAAATAAACGTACCACCACATGCTGCCATTTGTAAATCAAATTAATGGCAAACTGCCCAGCAATCTTAACAGAGAGGTAGTCATTGACCTAGGAAAAACAAACATTGAAAGACCATTTACATTTCTCCTCTACTATTTCCTGGAAATAAGAAAGCAGAGTGCTTATCTGTAAAAAATTTATTTTTAATAACTTTGCATTTAATGAGATTTTAAAATATTTATGACAATATGGGTGAAGATTTTATACAGGAAGGTATTTATTATGTTGGAAATTAAGTCACTCCCTCGGAATACATATTTCTATAGAAATACTTTGGATCCAGTTGGGTTACTATAAGGTATATACAGTATATGTTCTAATAGCTTCCTCCAACTCTGACAAGACGTCACCTCTCTATATAGATAGATAGTATTTTAGTAAGCAAACAGCTACATTTAAGACACATAGGGGGGGAATTTAAACTGGAGCAGACAAAATCTGGAGCAGCTGTGCATGGCAACCAATCAGCATCCACCTTTCATTTTCAAAGCTTAACCAAACAAACTGAAGAGAGAAGCTGATTGGTTGCCATAGGAAACTGCTCCAGATTTTGCCTGCCCCAGTTTTGATAAATTCCCCCCATTATGAGCAAAGATACAATGGCCTTGAAACAGTGATTCAAAAAGTGTTTTCTGCAAAAAAGATCAAGTGTTCTCTTTTTTAAATAATACAATTTAGGGGGTTATTCAAAAAGTTGCCAAAGCCATGAGAACACGGCTGGCTCCTCCCCACTGTCATTTGCGTGGAGATCGGTCGGCTTCGGCCGACCTTTCTCCGCGCTTCGGGTGTCACTATGGCTCAGCCGAGCCGAAGCATATGCGTTCGGCTTGGCTGCCTTCGTCTGCTGTACGGGCTATTGTATATAGCCCATACAGCAGCCCTTCGGTTCGAGCGAACCAAAGGGCAGAGGTGGCCGAAGCGAGCAAAAGGATCAGCTGAAGCTACGGCTAGATCATTTGGCTCTTTAGTGAATAACCCCCCTAGTGGGTTACTATATACAAATGCAACACATGCATTTGTATAT